GTTGTTTCTACATTAAAGTAAACACAATTTTGCATATCATTTTCCATATGATGTTCCAAACTCTCGACCCATATTTTCATCAACTATATTTTCTAATAAATCATCAAAAATATTCCGAATAGCAAGGTTTAAGGCTACAGTAGAGTTTATATTATACTTTCATACCAATAATATCTAATAATATATAAAATTTTGTACTAATAATATCAGAAGGAGAAATTTAACAGCTTTGCCGATTTGGATTGTGCATACGGAAAACCCTAAGAAATGATTTACATTTCAATCGATTACAAATCGCATGAGTGCCTGAATATTGTATTAATACATATATAATGAAATTACAGAGTGTAGGAGCAGTGATTTTGTATTCCCGTGGACCTTTGGCGGTTGCGCGGTTGTCGTTACAAATATCGCGTCCCACAGTTCAGCGCAAACGCGATGAATAATTTAATCCTGCATCTCCCCTCGAGTTCGGGGCTCCGGAATCCTGCGCAACACCCCCACGCATGTTGCGAGGCATACAAGTGCGATGCGGATCGCGGATTTCGCGAAAGGGAATATTTAATGTACCGCTATATCCGCTGGATATATTCGAAATTTCGAAACGCGCGCTGATAAAAAATACGTAAGCGAGAAGCGCTCGTGCGGAAAAGCGGGGGACATACGCCGGGTAGTACGCCGTTACGTTGTTGTTTTGACGTTGCACAATCGCGCGATTATTAATACAAACGACTCTCGATGACCGGCGCAGGGGGAGGGTGATTCGTCAACGAGATCGCATCGCGGACGACGCGCGTGGAACTCCGCGATAAAGGGATGCTGTTGTGAATGCTGTTGACATGTGGCCGATATTTTCAGGCTCTTTCGATACGGAAGCCTTTTTTCCACGTTCGAGCCGCCGGGAAATAGTTTTTCCGACGTGAAAATAACAGCCTAGAGGCACACGTCGAGACTGTTGCCACTTATCGCCGGCGTAACTCGAGATGGCAAGATATTCCGGGAAGGAGAGACACACGCGCTACGTTTGCTCGTGTCTATTTACGAAACCTGACGTTTACGTATCTAATTTTTTTATGGCGAATTAAATGGTTCGTCCAACGATTTAAACGGCCGAGGGCCAATTACGTCTTCTTGACGTTCAAAGCCAAATATCGGTAATGAAGCTTAGACTTAATATTTAATAAAAGAAAAAACAATCCTCTTGAATGAGGAAGTCTCGTTTTTTTAATTAAATTACACCGCGAAAAGTTTGTTCGCAACAGGTCCTTTGTTCCCTAATCATTTTTAATGCGAAAATTGTCCGTACTTTGACATGTTTCAGTTAAGAAAAACTCGACCGTTAATTGGCGAAAGAATCTGTCATTAAACTTTAAGTTGGATATTCGCACTATTTTCATGTAATTTATTACATTAGCACTTGTCGATCCGTTTTCATTAAAAGTACATTGCATTGGCAAGTAAAAAAAAAACTATCGTTCTTACATTTCTTTTACCGTATTTTTATGTATTTGTCAACATTTTTACGTAACAATACGTACAATGCGGGACTTAATGAAACAATTTTTTTTTCGGCTTTGCCGTGAATTTTTTTTGTTCTGTCAATCCACGATTGACACAATATTTTACTTTGCTTTTTCCTATGTTATTTTTTTCTACTAAATCAAGTCTCACATTCATGAAAGTAATTGGACATCGTTTGGCAAAGATCATAATAAAATTATTTTTCAAATGGCACGATTCAATATTAAATGATAAATGATGTCAATAGGTTAATCTAATTTTATACGGTAATTGAAAATTTTAATAGTTTATTGCGAATTAATATTTGGTATGCCAATTTTAAAAAATTCACAATTTTAATATTAAAAAAATATTATATAAATTAATATAACTTTGAGCAATAATCAGAAATTTAATACTTTATTGCACATTAATATCTGATGTTATTTAAAGTTGTCGCGACGATAAAAGTTAAGATATTAAATATTAAAATGCCTAATTACATAAAATTATTTCGTCCTAACATTTTATTATTTAATATAAAATCGAATCGAAACAAAACAAAAAGCGTCTTATATTTAAAATATATTATCATATTTATTGACAAAACAGTTTCTAATTATCTTTGCAAATGTAAAATTTAATTTGAAATTATGTAATATATATAAGAATATAATAAGTATGTATATATAAACATATGTAAAAAGAAAATACATATAATAATATATATAACATAAGTTTTATAATTGTATAACATAATTTTATCTTTTTCTATAAATCAATCGAATTATGACAAAGACAATTATTGTATTAATCGTGTTATAGACAATTGAATTATTAAGTGGAATAACATTACAAATTCGTTTACGATTTAATAAAACAATTTTTTTGCGTTTAAATGTTTAAGAAAATTAATTATATAAATCTAATGAAATTCAATTTCCTATAAAGGAAGCGAACGTTCAATATTAAACAAATGCAAATTAAATATAATGAAAAATTATGAACTGCATAATTTATTTAACAGATATAATTTAAAAAATTAAATAATGTGTCTTTATCATTTTTTATTGCTTATTATTGTAACTTAGTTTTATATCTTACGTGATTTAATTTATTCTTTTATCTTTTTAGTTTAGATAGTTTATTCTTCATATGTCACATCTAATTCTTAACTTAAAAATTTTTTCATTTCGATTTGATTTGAAATTTGAATTACCCTTTCTACGAATCTACGAATTTTGTATCTGAACAATTTGTAAAATGCTTTGAATTTTATTAAACAGATTTGACATTTTTTGTATTAGGGATAGCGTTTTATTAAATTGCTTTTATTAATTATTTTTACACTGAAGATGATCACAAAAAGGTCGAAACGTTTGCGTTGCGTGTTTGAATTTTGTAAATATTAATAGTTAAACATATTTTAGCACTGTAAATATTAATAGTTAAACATATTTTAGCACTCATCAAGCTCGAATAATCCTTGTATTCTGATTTATTTTCGTACAGAGAGCCTTCAATCGTTATTAATTTCTTAAATAATATTAATTATCTAGAAGAGATATACACAAAGATACATATTCATATACAAATCATATAAGTTTCAAGACTGGTTTTCAGTCCAAGCGAGGGATGTGACACCCAAGCATGAAAGATGTAAGATGTAATCTTGCGAAATCGAGCCGAGCCAATCTATATTACCTCAATTTCCGGTTATCGATGAGCCTCGATTTAACCGGCCTAACTGGCCAATTAACCTACCACCCCCATGTATCGCGTGAGAATAAAAAGGTCGGTTAAGGTCGAACAAAGGGAGGATAATTTCACTTACCCTGCCTGTCTATCCCGTCTCTCGCTATAAAGATCACTGTCCCGCCTCCCTCGACGAGCGGCACAAAGAATCACAGTTCAGGAGAAAAGATTGCACGACGGACGACGACGGTGACGGCGACGACGACACGTAGCTGCTCGCGAGTG